AAGTCCACAGTGAGAAATCACTTCTGCAGCAACTCAGCACCATTCATCTGATGCTCTTGGGATCTTTTGACGTATAGACATCAAGTCTTTTAGAGGTAGCTTGAAGCACTGCAGTGGCACTCCGTAAATCTAGCTTCTAAGCCTTGTTCTGTCGTAGAGTTAGTATGTGATTTTGTGGTAAATCATTGAAAGGTTCTGTGCTTTAGTTGCCCTTTATTACACAATGAGGATGGTAATTCTTCCATTCTTGGATCCCCTGAGTGCATTTTTAATTTAGATTTTTTTTTTTAAATGACAGGGAACAATCTTTATTTTGTGTCTGTACAATGCTCAGCACTATGGGAACCTTGACTTTAATTAGGATTAATGGATGCTAGCAAATGCACAGGAAAACAAGCTGCATCTGGCAACTGGCAAGGAGTAAGGGCCTGGGACAGTGTACGATATTCAGTATGGCTGAATGTGATAAACAGTTGACTAGAAATTTTGGAACTTGCACCTGCTTGTCTCTTTGTAAATTGAATGAGTAACCAACACATTGTAGACGATTTCTTTTGCAGAGGTTGATTTTGGATAATTACGTAATAGGTTGCTTATGTATTTTAATGGTTGCCATTAATTGCCATAATTGCTATCCCTGGGTGATATTGTTGGGAAATATTAGCACTCTAATAGCAGTAGTAATCCTTTCTTCATCCATGAAACCTTAAAAGGTGATATGTGACAAGTTGGATGGGATGCAGAAGAAAGATCTAGGTTGACCCTAAATGCTCTTAGCTGAGAACAGGAAAAGGCTATGATTTGAAGTAGGTAATAAGGTTAGTTAGAGGCACAAGAACAGTTGATGACCAATAGCAATGAAGGGAAAAGAATCTAGTACTTTCTTCTGGTTTGGAAAACACTGAATTCTCTTCCTGAATTTCAAGCTTCATTCTCTTCGGAAAGGACACTGAAGCTTTCAAATGGAGATGTGAAAGCCCTAAGAGAATTGGGTCTGTCGTGCTGATTTCTTATCTAATCTCATAAGGGCACAAAATGCAGTTACATTAAAAAGAACAGGAATTTCTTATCTTAGTGTAATGAGAGTGGTGAAAATCTGTCTGTTTTCCAGTGAAGTTTATTAGGAGATGATTTCAACACATGAAGAAGTAGAAAACATTCTAGCTTCTTAAACTGGAGTGTTGTCAAGCAGTTGTTATTAAACTATTTTTTCTTCACTACAGAGTGGATTTTATTTTCCCTTGGACAAAAAAGGAATACCTCGGCTATTTCTACTTCTCCCTTCTGTTCAGTAAAGTAAGAAAGTAGAAGGAGGCATGTGGTAAACAGTACTGTACAAGACTATACTGCCATCGAGAGGTGTTGGGTGATATCATACCAAGTGTAGAGTTGAAGAACTGTAAAAATGAAATAAACTTGTTTTTAAAAATTCACATGTGTAGATGCACAGTGTGTTAAAGCACACTGAACACTATAGACCTGGAGATTTCTAGCTTTGTGTGTGTGAGGACACAGAAGCATTTCCCTTTAATTTTCTTGTTTTACATCGGATAAGACCGTAAGTCAAATGTTAAATTCTTTCAGAATAATATAGGCCCTTTGTGGGCCCTTACAGATAGTTATCTATGCGGTACCTCTAGGTATCTACTCCTATAAATAAGTCAAAATTGCAGTTTTTATTTTAATCACATTATAATAACTGAAAAGTAATAGATTTGCTTTTACAGTCAAGTAATTTGTTTCTTTAAAAATGACTGGAAGAGACGATGAGGAATTCAGAATTGCGGGTATTCAAGTTTGTAACTTCAGTGCAGAAAAATCGGTGTTACTGGGACTACAGTTGAGAAAGTTTATCCCAGAATTATTTTTTGTGACACTTAGTGGGGAGATCATTAAGCTTGAGCAACCTGAGTTTAAACTGTGTTTATTCTGGCAAAAGAAACCAGTTTACAAGTTTTGACCTTCAGGAACATATTTTAAAATTTTAAAATGAGATACACTTTCAGCTGCGAAAATTAGCAAACAAGAAGCTAATGCTCTTCAACTTTTGGCCAAATAGAATGAAAGAGCAGGGTGATATGATGTGCTGATGATGTTGACTGTTTTTTTCCATAACAGTTTAAGCTAGCAGCTTGAAGAGGCTGGAAAAAAATTAGATTGATGAGATTTCTTTCATTGCATTCACTATGCAAAAACTCAGAAATAAGACAGAATCATTCTTCACATCCTGTTGTGATTCAAGCTACTGATTTGGAGATCAGGTTATCTGGAGACTCTTACAAGTTGCGTGCACAACACTGGGCATACAATTAACCTCTTTACCTCAAATCCCCTTCTTGTAAAACTAGAGTCATTGCACTTTCCTCACAGGAGCACTGGGAGGAAATACCATTAATATTTATGAGGCACTTGCCTACTGTGATGATGAATAACACAATAGGAGTTACCAGAGCCAGACAAGCAAGGAATCATTTCATTAGAGAGTATAGTAGCCATCTCCAGTTTGCTTCCCCCCCCTCCCCGCATTCTGAGGATAAGGAGCTGCAGTTGCCAGCATAGATGGTTAAATAACAGGGTGATAAAAGCTCCCCACCAGGCTACTGTACTTGTTACTGCTGGGACTGCATCTGCACTGGTTGATAAACCAGCCTTACTATCCATCACAGAGCAGGCGGGTGGTAGAAACCCTCCTACTGAGACCCTCTGTCAGGTAGTGTCTGGCTCAGCACTTTCAGTATTCATTTCAGTATTTGATTTTTGGAGTATATCTTTGACCAAATTTAGAGGATGATAAAGGTTGTTCAGGGAGTTCAGGGCTAACACCTGGACAGTTTTGTGGAAGGACTTAATTGAAAATTTCCGTTGTCTTTCTTCAGACCCCCTTTGTAGGCAGCAGAACTGGTAGTCGTAGTCTTTTTAGCAATGCCTGGTGCGTGCATTTTAAAAATTGTAATGTAGTGAGCTTGATTGTATGAGGTGGGTAAATAATAGAATCCCCATTTTTCAAACAGCAAACTAAAGTGGAAGTCTTATGTGATTTACCGAGAACCGCAAACATGTAATGCTGCAAGCGTGGAAACAGTCAGATTGGACATGCAAACATAAACATTTATATGTACGAGCACTTGACGTACTTCCCGTTTGTTTGAGTTCAGAAATTATTTGCCTTCATTCTCCTTTATAATCAGATATATGTTTCCTTTCTTTAAATATAGCATTCACATATAAACATTTTTATAGATTTTAAAATTACTCCGTGTTTTGGTGCATTAATAATCCTAAATTAAACTTAATTTTGTTGTCATCTTTTAAATGTTGATATGGTTTTCCCGTAGTGAAAATTAAAGGAACACTTCCCATGGAGTCATGGCACAATGAACTGTGAGAATATCATACTGAGAGAAACTAGTTTATTTGTGCTAACGTAGATTAGTTGGTATGAGTTTTTAAGTAGTGGGTTTTACAGGAGGTCTGCAGTATAGCAAACTTGCAAATGAACATTTTCAACTGCAATTGGGATTTTATCTTTTTAAGAAGATACGTGTGATGGCATGTGGGAACACTTAATATTTGTGATATATAGACCAAAATTTATCGTATTTGTAATTCACTGTAAGGACCTTTCCAGGATTATTTTTTTTATTTTTAGACTTTGCAAGATGAGTAGATAAGTAAAATAAACATTTTATTGTTTTGAATGCTTACTTACTTAATATGTTTCCATTTAAGAGCAAAACTGAAGACAGCATATGTGCCAAATAATTTATCAGTCTAATTTCTGACGGCAACAAGAAAATAGCAGCTTTATCTGCACCAGGATTCTGGTTTGGTAAAAGCAGTTAGATTAAATTATGCCAATTTGAAAGTCAAAACCAGTTGAGATACACAAGAGCATGCTTTTTCTGGTCAAAATAGGAAACATTTGGGATATTTTGGGGGTTATGTAAAGACTTTAATTTGTAACCACACTGTATGCTCAGTCTAAGTGGTAGACAAGAATAGTTGTTCGTGTGATTTGCCATTTCTTCAGCACATTATTTAAACTATATGGCTGTGCATATTTTTTATTTTGAATGATAGTTAATCTGAACTATGATTAATTCTTTTAACATTTGGATAATTTAAAAAAGATGTGCATATGTGTTCACATACCAGACACGGCTAGATGCAAGTGCTTTTAAATGCAGCTTATTTCATTTTAGTCATTACCTTCTAGAAGAAAATAGTTCTTCTCTTGTTGTGGGGAGGGTGAGGGTTTCCCTTTGCATAGTTTGTGTGATTTCAGACCCTAGAGAAGGATATAGCTGTTGGGCCACATAATTAAGAAACTAACAGAAGTTAGAATGACACTGTTGCAGGTGGGTTCTTGATTAAAGGAATCCTTCGATCTGTAGACCTTCTTTGTTACCTGGTGCACAAATAATGATGTGGAGCTTAGACTCTTGAATCAAATGGCATTTAGTGGCCCTGAAACTGGTTGTTCAGTGGGATTTAAAAAATGCAACAGATATCTGCAGTTCTGGTCATTGGAATCTGTGTGTTCTTTGTTTTATGAACTCATGCCAAAATTTAAAAAGCTTCTGCCACACTTTTCAATAGTATGTTTTCACTTTCTAAGTACTGGCGTGCACATCTCAGTTTCTTTACTTAGTTACTAATTCTTTCTTTCACTTCACTACTTGCTTTGCAATGTTCTTGGCTTGTCGGTATTACATAAATTCGTGTTGGTGAATGTATTCTTGCAGCAAGAATTGAGCTGGTGTCTGTCTGATGGTGGCTCACCTGCTTCCTCTCTGTTTCTCCTGACCACTCATCTCATGGGGGGGTAGGTTTCTTACCTTGTGAGCTACAGTTTATTAGCTAATACTAAAACTCTTGTCTGCTAATAGCTTAACTAACCAACTGCAGCAGGATTAAAAATGTCTTCTATTGAATGTAACAGGATGTACACTGCAAAGGATGTAACAGGTTAATGTACTGCTTTCCACTTCTAATTTCAGGCTGGAGGTTCTCAAGTGATCTTTACCAATCCACTGGAAATTGTCAAGATTCGATTACAGGTGGCTGGAGAAATTACTACTGGTCCACGAGTTAGTGCCCTCACTGTATTACGAGACTTAGGCTTCTTTGGTCTCTACAAGGTACTTTTTAAAAAATACACATTAATTAAAAGCCAATTGTGAATTCTCATGGATCTTACTAAGATTTATTTTCTCACTTCAGCAGGTTTAAGTATTGTTCCCTGAGGATTAGTTTGTGATTCCTGATGTTCTGCCTGGTGTAAAAATAAACTTATTTTCATCTGATTCATTATATAGAGTTTACAGTTTTGGAGCTGTGCTTTTGCTCTTCTGTGTTTGATTCAGCAACCTTCCCAGATGTCAATGTTAATCTGGTGATGGGAATTAAATGCAGCACAATAATGGTGCAGAAATACAGACTGTGGGAGCCCCACATAAAAATAAAATATTAAAGCAAATTTCCCCTTGCTGGTTTAGAAAAATATTTCCAGAAATAATCTCAGGAAGAGCTGCTTTTATGTGTGTATACTACAGACTCTACCATTCTGCTTCCTACGTATGTGACTATCCTCACATAGATACATAAATATATAGAAATAAAGTTAGGTTTCATGTTAGACTGCAGATGGATTAGAAACATCTTCTGTTGGATCTATTTGGTTGTATGCTCTAAAAAGAATTTGAAGGATTGGCATAGTGCCTTCTACTTTTAAATGAAGGGGACTAGATACAGAGGAGTATGAAAGGTCTTGGAGTTCTTTGAGATAGCCACCACACACAGTATTGAAACAAAAACTGTAATGAATGCCATATACTGCAGAGTACCATGTGATGTTGATTCAGATCCTGCAGCCTGCTTCTTGGGAGAAAGCTTTTACACAACTCATTTGTTCCAGTATTTCTAGTGTAGCAGGCAATATTCCTCTGTTTCTTATTTACAGCAGTGCAACTGTAAACTGAAGATGCTTCAAAAACCAGCAGATGAGCCCCATCCTTCTCCACAGCACCTAAATTCCATCTCCATTTTTAAGCATCCAATCCTTTTAAATTGTTCTGTTAGCATTACAAAGAGGAGGCCTGCCCACGAGTAGATGTATGTGTGTTTTGGCCTGGAGAGAAGTTGCAGGTCTGAATAGGATTTGATGGGGTGTTTTTTTCCCGTCTAAATTGACTTGCTAATTTTTTAGGTGTTTTACTGAAGCTGCTGCTATTGTGTAAACTCCTAGTAAATGACATTATGGTGTTGGTCAGGTCAACATTTACAACTGAAAACATGACTGTGGTAAACGGTCTGCATCCCTGAGGGTGTGCAGGAGTGGAGGGCAGCTACTGACTTTTACTTGGACTAGTAAAAATAAAACATAGAATGAGAAAGAGTGATGAACTAGTTTACTAAAGTTAGCATTTTTTAGATTTTTTTTTTTCTTTAATGCCTGCTCTTGGTGGCTGAGCAGTTTCCTACATTTTTCCATTTTTAAACGGCAATAATGTCTTGGGTTGTACTATGAATTATTTCTGTTTTCCAGAGTAGGTTCTTGGTGAATATTTGTGGGGAATACACTGGTTACAGCACTATGTAGTTATTTAATCACAAGCTACACGATTTTGTTGGTTTATTCATTTAAGTCCATTTATCTCCACAAAAAAAAGCCACAGGAGGGTTTGGTTTTGTTTTCCTGTTGTCTCTGCTTCTGTCTGTCTCCACCCCTCCAGCCTGCTCGCTGTGTTCACATCCTTTTGTATGTCCAGTTTAGATTCCTTGCCTGCAAAAACGTGACTGATCTGACAAAACTAGAGAATCTAACCTGGCAATGACAGTTGTCCACCCAGCAGAGCACGGGTCACATCAGGTGGCGTGTGTGCAATCCCTGCTGGCTCTGTTGTCGGGCAGGTTTGTGCTGTTGTCCACCAAACACTTTGGCACTGTAGCCAAAAACCAAAATGGCAATCCTATCTGCCCCCTGTCCTGTATGCCAGCAAGAGTGTTGGTGCAGCCACATAACGATCTGGAACAGGAAACTCATTAAAACTAAAGCCTCCCCCTCCTTATGGCTTATTTTATTTTGAACCCAGACCAGCTCACTCTGTAGCTCCTCACAGTGGTTGTAGCCAGGTGAAGGGAGGAGTGGCTTGATGGCATGGGGATCCCATCAGTCTGTATTAGAGGAGTTTTATACTACCTTGAGGTGCTTGTGGAACAGCCGTGTCAGAGACAGAAGCAGTCCTCTTATGAATGCTTCTGCTGAAGCTGGCAGCGCTGGTGAGGCCAGGCAGGGATCAATAACTCATCGCATGTAAGTCACCAGCCCCAGAAGATGCTGTCCAGAGGCATTAATGGCCTAAACTGGTTTCAGCCGAGACTGGACTTGGTAGCTGCTGCCTTCTCTGATGGTGCTTCTAGTAAATTAATTTAGTGAGTATAATGACCAAGTGAACATCAAATAATAATAGATGTTCTACTAGTGAGAAATGAAATATCTTGGTACATTTGGAATGCTTGTATTCTTTTAACTATAAAACAGGAATGAGGATTTTGTGCCTATTCCAGTACTTTTCATGCTGTTCCGTCTTTCGTTTGCATCTTAAGACTTTGTTGCAGCTTTGTCTTTTGTGTCTCAAGACACAAGGCTTATATCTTAAGCTCTGAGTGTACTTATTTTAGTAGATCAAAGTAAGACGCCATACATAGTGCTGCAGAAAAACAAGGATAGATCCTTTTTTTAGAAAACAGTTTTATTCGTGAATCTTCAAGTTACTTTATAGGCTTGATGGCCTTCATGTAAGTATTCCAGCTGTTTAGACACTGACTATCTTAGCCGCAATTTAGGACCAACTGATTAACTTCCTTTTGCAAGTGCTGAAAGCAAATTCTAGACTTTTAATTTCAGGAATTGTCATTGGAAATAAATGGATGTCTTTTTTCCCCCTATTTTTTAAAATTTGTTTAACAATCCAAAATTTAAATGTAATATTTCATTTCATAGTTGATAGTAAAAATTTTTTGTTTAATTTTTTTCTGTAAGGTATAGCCTGAATTTATTTTGGTTTTTTGTTTGTTTGTTTGTTTTTTCTTTTGTGGACAAAAGATAGCAAAACCAACAAAAACTAACTACTCCATCAGTTTTGGTTCAAGACCATAATGTTCCTCCTTTGCCACTTGACTTATTGGAAATTCTTGTAAAACTGCTCTAAGAAGGGCTGACTGGAGTTTTCCACAGCAGTTTCCACCACTGACTATCCACATAATTCACTTCTGATGTCTGGATTAATGGATATCAAGTGCCTGTAGTGCTGGTCCCTAGAAAAGGTGGCCACTATCTAGATGAGGCCAAGTAGGGCAGGATAGTATGAGAAGCTGTACAGAGGATCCTCTGCTGCTTACGGAGTTTCCTTAAAGGCCTTGCTTTGAGATGGGAAGAAGAGGAATTCCCTCAACCTAATGGTTGGTTGGTAAAATCAACGGAGAGCAAAGATCAATGATTTGTCTGTACTGCCAGCACTGGAGAAAATAGGCTTGTTATAGAGATAAATAGAGGGATATCACATATTTAACAGGAAGATGGAGCCCCCAAGACATGATGTTAACTCAAAACTAACATTCCCATAATGATAATTTTTCAAAATAGGAGCATGAATATTTTTAAGCAGTTGGGTTTTTGTGATGAATGAGATAGTCTGGTAATGAGACATTACCAGACAGCCTGCAAGCTCACAGTAGAGCTGAAGTGTTTCCATTGCTTGTTAATGTGAGTTTACTTTGGTGTTGATAAGTTACAAACCCCTTAAAGCAGGAGTGGTCATCCAGTTTACTGCACATTGGCTTTTCTGTTTCTCTCACTCTGCTTTGGTGCTGTTCTGTTTACTCCGTTGCAAGGACTGCAGTGAAAATTTTCTTTTCCTCGTTCAGAAATAAGTAATCTTGAAAGCTGTTCTTACCACCACAGGTCAATAGGCATGCTCTTCTTAGTTCCTGTGAATCTTTCATGCTGAAATTTGTTTGAAAATCTGCAAGAGTCCCATGTAGTAGTCAGCGAGGAAGAATGCACTCTCATTAATTATAACTGCAGCCAGAAGATGCAAAGAATTACACGTGTCAGTCATAGCTTCATGAGGCAAATTCCTGCATGTCTTAATGAGATCTTCTGCTTGTTGTTTAAATTCTTATATTTTGTATTAATTTCTACCTATGAAGGATGTTTTGTGTATTTTAAAATAAAATGCCCACACACCCCTGATATAGGTAATTTTGGTGTTCCTGTCTTGCATTAGCAGAGAAAAAACCAAGGCACAGACAAATAAATCTTATGTCTCGTGTCAACAAATTAACAAAGGAAATGCTATGTAAACCCTTTTTGCATCCAACTGAGTGAATCTTGCATTGATTATGATTGTAATTATCCCAGCATTCTAATCCAAATGAATACCCATTTGAGGATGACTGAGAAGCTGGGTTGTGTAGTTCTGATGCCCCTCTATATTAGTGAGAGTAATGTTCTTTTGGGTCATTCTGCTGTGCTAGTGACACAGCACAGTTCACAGTAGTATTCTGTTGACATCTCTGGTCTGTGCTCTGCTCTTTTTGCAGACTTGATGTTGGAATAATTTGTGTTGAAAGCCAGTCTGGAGGTCACGTGGGCAACATGAGCCAGTATTTTACCACCTTCACAATTTAAAACAAACAAATAAACAAACAAACCAAAACCCCTCAACCTTTTCCTAATGCCTAATTGGAATTGGCCATGTTCCAGCTTCTGTCCATTGCCCCTAATCCTTCCACTGTGCACCTCCAAGAAGAGTTATCTTCCTTGCACCCTCCCTCTAAGTAACTGAAGAGAGCAGTAAGGTCTCTCTCTAGCCTGCTTTTCTTGGAGTTGCGCACACTGAGTTATCTCGGTCTCTCCTCGTATACCATGGGCTACCCAGCTGGCTTGATGGCCCTGCACTGGACTCACTCCAGGGTAGCAACACCTTTCTTGTACTGGAGAGCCCAGAACTGGACACAGGATTCCAGATGTGGTCTCACCAGTGCTGGATGGAGGGGAATAATCACTTCCATTACACCCAGGGTGTGGCTGGGCAAAGTCTTCACTGCAGGGAAGCATTGCTGACCCATGCTCAAC